ACACTATTTGTTCCTTCAGCATCCCCCATCTCAGCAGATTTTTGATAATAAATGAATGCCTTATGTTCATCCTTTTCAACTCCAATTCCATTTTTGTAACAGTTGCCAAGTGCAAATATTCCACTAGCGTAACCCATATCTGCAGATTTTTGATAATAAATGAATGCCTTATGTTCATCCTTTTCAACTCCGAATCCTTTTTCATAACAAACTCCAACATTAAATATTCCGTCAACATAACCCATATTAGCAGATTTTTGATAATAAGTGAATGCTTTATGTTCATCCTTTTCAACTCCAATTCCATGTTGATAGTTATATCCAATACTATTTAGTTTAGACGGATTTTCTTGTTCCATTTTTTTTTTCAAGACGTGTGAAAAAAAGGAACCGAACTTGTATTTGTATTTCATCACAAATATATGCACATACATATGTTATATTTTAAATTCACGTTACATCATTAAACTAATTTAAAAATTCGTGTATCACTTACGTACGTACGTATGTAGTTAATTGCCAATTCAGAAATGCAGAAATAAAACTATTCTCAAGCGTAACTGTCTTCTTTTTTAAATTTAATTGTTATAAAGCATTGAAGAAGCAATCTAATTTATTCGGTTTAATATTTCCGCCAAAGAGTAATTTACCTTTGGTCTCTATTTTAATGTTATATAGAGTGACAATATGTCAATTTAAAAAATTTGTACTGAATATTGAAAAAAAAAATTCAAATCGTAATATAATGTTTGATGTAATTTTAAATTTTCGTGCATATACAGTATGAAGGTTTAAATTTGTGAAATAAAATGCGTTATTTTAGTTATTCTGGGTACGTACATTTGATGATTTTTACATATGCAACTACAACGAAAGGAACAACGAATGGGACAACGAAAGGAACAATGAAAGGAGATTTATTACCATAATGACAACCGTAACTTCCGTTTTTTTTGATTAGTTGCACCATTTTGTGATATTCTGGAGTCTTACTGTAAAAATTGCATTTTGTAGAGATAAACTTTTGACCATCGGAATTTTAAAAGTTGCATCTAACTTTATATGAATCGCAATTTAGTTTTAGTTTTACCTTTTTTTGAGTTTAAGCTATTGATACAAAGAATCTAAATTTTAATAATGATAAAGCATCAATACGTATTTAAAACTTTATCCAGATGACGATTACATATTTTCAATTTTAGATTATTTTTGAAGTTTGAAAGTTTGAAATGAAAGTAGAAAACTAATGAGCATTCAAAATAATATAATGAACGATAAATAACGAAATTATTTATTATGCTCCACTTTATAATTGGCATAAAATTTTAAATTCCTAACGCTAACGCCAATTCAAATTTAAGTCAAAAGTGTTTGCGCGCTGTTAATTTGACAATTCCTTATTTTCCATATATAATCATTCTAAAAATAGTAATGAATTAAACAGGTACAAACTCGTGTTGTAGTATAACAAACAAATCAAAGAATATCGATATACATGATTTCTCGTTTGAAATTTTAAAATGAAATCATTTATCTTTTCCATTAGAAATGAATAATTCTCATATTGACCCTCCACGTGGGGTATTTACACTACCCATTACTTGCGATTTAAATAATCCCTTCTGGGATGTTATCAAATCTTCTAAACATTTTATACTTCAAAGAACAAGGTCACCGAGCAGTGCAATCCTTCGAGGTGTTATCGGTACAATACAAAATGTGTTAGTATTCTTCCTTCAGTTTTTTGAAATTCTACTACAATATGCTTATTTTCCTTTCATCACTTCTCAGTCTTGATACGAAGGCTCCTCCCTTTCGAATACTTTTTCGATCGGAGGTAAATGCCCCTTCTTTACAAATCGCTGTTTCTCAGTCTCAAAAAGGGATCGAAGATGCTTGGAAATGGATCGAATGTAATTCTTATTTTATTCTGAAACTTTATTCTTTTTTTTTTTCCTTTATAATTATATTTTATATTTTTTTTTTTACATAATTTTTAGACAGTTTAAATGATGGTTTGTCAAGACTTGACACTGCCGCTGAAAAAGAAAATTATGTTGTAACGAAAATAAATTCTTTGGTTACACGACAAGGTATATTCAATTTTTTTCATTCTTATTATTTGAATTATGATTTTTTAAATTAAGAATAATTGTTTCATAGATAAGGGAACTGATGAAGTTTCTGAAGATCAAAATATTCGAAATGCATCAAGAACCTTTCGTCAAAATTTTGATATTGCTCCTACTGAAAGACTAGTTAGTTGTATGTTGTTTTTTTATTCTTTTTTTATTTTATTTTATTATTTTTTCGTTATTTATTTTATTTTATTATTTTTTCGTTATTTATTTTCATTACTTATCTTTATTATTTATTTTTTATTAATTTATTTTATTAATTTATTCTAATCATTAAAGTCTATTCGTGTGCATACCGTGGTATCCAACAAGGGTGGATGTATATAAGTGAAAACTATTTGGGTTTTCATTCTTTGATACTTGGCATCGAGACAAAATTGCTTATAGAATTAAAAAATATTGAAAATTTGGTTAAAGAAAAATCTAAGCGTGGAATGGTTTCTGACTCGATTAAAGTAATTACAAAGGATGGTAATGAGGTTAGTTATATATATATTCAATATCATGATATTCTATTCTAAATAATGTGTGACTTAATAAATTTATTTTTCTTCTAGTATTTTTTCTCAAATCTTTTTCATCGAGACGAAGTAAGTTGACATATCTGTTTTTCTATTATTATAAATAATTATTATTAAAAGTTCTCTAACAATTACTATTATTACTAAACTATTGTAAACTATTGTAAACTATTATAAATTATTGTAAATTATTGTTTATAGACCTACGGTTTATTGGTGCAATTGGCGGGTCTGTCAATGCAACGATTATTAAAAAATGCTGCCGTAGAATTGTCGCCAGCAACGTCCATATATGATGTTGATAATGCTAC